TATTAAAGTAAGTTAAGCATTATTATTATTCTTATATTATTATTATTATTATAAAAGAATATTATATATTAATATCTCCCCTTAAGGTATATATAGCTAATTTATAGTATATAGCTTACTCACTTAATATATATATACGTTATAGGTATAAAAAACTTAAAAACCTTATAGGAAAAATAAGAAAAATATTCCTATAATATATATAATATACTTATAACTAGTTAAAAAACTCTTATTAAAAAACCTTATAGGTAAAAAGGTAAGAGAAAAACTAGTAAGTTATTTCTTTAATGCAGTTATTNTATTAAATAACCTTATAGGTAAAAATATAAGAGAAAAACTAATAAGTTATTTCTTTAATGCAGTTATTATTATTATTATTATTATTATTATTATCACTATTATTATCATTATTAATTATATTCATTATAGTATTAAATATAACTTTACCTACTAGCTTAGTTAATATATCCGCAATATTAGACTTAGAGTCTATATGAAATAACATATAATCTTTATTTAATAAAGATTCTCTAGTAAAGTGATATTTTATATNNNAATATACTTAGATTTCTTATGAAATTTAGGATTTTTAGCTAGCTTTTTAGCTACTAAGTTATTTATAAAAATCTTAAGCTTATTAATAAGATTAAATCTTAGTTTATTTAGATTATAGTTATAGTTATTATATAAGTATAAAGCCTCTTTAATAGCTTTAGTTAAAGTTATATATATAGTTTTATAAATAAATAAAACTATAGTTTTTTATTTTATAATACTATAAGATATTATATTATATAAACTTTAGTAAAATATATAAACTAATATAGATTTTCNTATATAAACCTTAGTAAAATATATAAACTAATATAGATTTTCTATTATTTAGGTCTCTAGCTTATTTAGAGTCTAAATAACCTATTAAATCCTAAATTTTATTATTACTATAGTTATAATATATTCCTTTATTAGGATATTTATTTAAATAACCCTATAGATAATCTAAAGCTATAAAATGCTCTTTAGAAGGGTTTATTATATATCTTAATAATATTATAATAGCTAGAGCTATATTAAATCTAGTTTTTAAAGCTAGATATAAAAGTGCTCTAATTTGCTATTAAAACTATAGAATTTCTTCTTTAGAAGTATAATATTTATTTATATATAGTTTTATATTATCTCTTATAGGAATTATAAATAGATTTATATTTATTTTATTATATTTATTTAATATTTTTTATATATATTTAGTTTAATATATAAAGAAAGACTTATTAGGTCTATCTATCTCAAACTTATAGCCTAAAAAGGTACTAAGTTCCCCTAATATTTATATTTTTATATATTACTTTAATATATTATATATATAATTACTAGTAGTAGTATTATTAGCTACTAGTAATATATCGTNAATATATTATCTATATAGTAATATATTATAGCTTTATAGTTATTTTTATTAAGTATAAATATTACTTTATTATAAAGTGAAATAATAAATCCTAATTTTATTAATATAACTTTTAAGTAGTTATTGAGTTTATAGTTATAATGTAGCCCCCCTGTAAAAAGACTATAGCAAAATTCACCCTATATATAGGTATAATTCCAGAAACACTATATAGGCACTTTAACTTATACCCTCTACTAATTAAGGAAAATAGTATAGAAACCCTATATATTCCTATTAGTAGGTAAACCCTCTAAATATCATAAAGTTAAACGTACGCCTTAGCTGAATAGACTGGTAGAATAGTAATAGTACTAGTTATATAGTATAGGGTTAGTAGCGCCACATATAGCGGGGCTAATTATATTAGGGCTAAATAGGTTATTAAAGCTCTTATAGCGATAGCTTTACTAAACTTTCTAGTGAGGTGCTATAAACGCCACTATATAAGAGATAACTCCTTAACTAAAG